GGCAGATGTGATGAGGGCATTTAAGGGACTTTTAGATAAGGACATGAATATGCAAGGAATGGAGGGATATGGACCAAGGCCAGGCAGAAGGGATTAGTTTCATTTGGGGTCATGTTCAGCACAACATCGTGGGCCGAAGGGCCCGTTTGTGTGTTGTACTGTTCTATGTTCTATTTTCCCAGAGAACTCTGCTACCCCTGGAACTTCGGTTCCACTATTCTGGTTTTATTGAAATATCCCAACTCAGTCCACTCTCATTCACTCCGATTCTTCAGGGATTAGAATACAATGTGCCTGAAAACGTTTTCTTATTTGGAAGTCACCGTCCTCCAGTTTTTACTCATATTGTTGTCCTGTGGGATTCTCCACTAGGGATACCTTGCAACAACGTTACATTTCTAATAACACCCTAATGAATTTAAATATCCCCAAGACGCTTCACAGGAGCACTATAAAATCAAGTCTGGCACTGAGCCACATAAGGAGATATTAGGTCAGATAATCAAAGGCTTGGTAAAAGATGTTGGTCCTCAGTAATAACTTAAAAGAGAAAAGGAGGGGCACAAAGATGAGTGGGAGGGGATTCTAGCCCTTGGACCCAGGCTTCTGTAGGTTTGACCACCAATGGTTAAGAAAATAAAATTAGTGAAATACAAGAGGCTAAAGTTGGGAGAGCTCAGATGTCTCTGAGATATGTGTTGGATGGATATCACAGAGATAGGAAAGGGCTAGGACACAGAGAGACTTGAAAGCAAGGATTAGAACTTTAAAGTCCGGATCTTGTTTGATGGCCACTAAGGCAAGTTAGTGAGTGCAGGGATGATAGATGAACAGACTTGCTGTGAATTAAGACATGCGGAGTAGAGTTTTGGATGACTGCAGGTAAACAACGGTAGAAGATGGCAGACCGCCCAGGCATGCATTAGTATAACCGCTGCAGGAACAAACACCCAACTCAGGACTGCTCGCCTACTTTCTTAGCACACACTCACTTTATATGCCTACCTGATGCTCACAGCATCCCTGCCTCACCTTGCCTCGATGCTTTGCCCCTTACCCAGATGTTAAAAGTTCATGGTTCTGTTTTCCTTTTTAGTGCAGGCTCAAAGCCAGTCAACTTTTCATGGTTCTCAGCACTTCTCAGTCAAGAGGGTTTGAATATGTTGCTGTATTGTACATTGCTACATCGCCCTCCCCTTCCAGTATGTGCAGCAAACATATAGCATGTGCATCAACCAAATGACCGTATTTCAAAGTCGAGACGGAGCAGACCTCAGTCAAGTCAGGTTGGGGTGTCAATCAGTTGGTCCAGTTAAAGTTAATCAAGCATTCACTGACAGTGCAAGCATTTGAGCACAGATAGTTATTTGCTTAAGGCAGTCAAAGTCAAGAGTTCCGTCCTGCTGTAGTCCATAGAGTGAGCCACAGTTAATTCTGCAAGTCCAGTGCAAGCATACAGAGGCTTCCTGGATTGTTAGATCTTTGAGAGTAATCAGGAGTCAGTCAGGACTGTCCATCGTCCGAGTCTAATCAGGGAAGTAGACCATCATTAGTTCTGGGATTCTGCACAATGAACATTCAAAGGTCCATGTGGGTATCAGACAGCATTGTTGAGGTAGGAAGGTGGAGCAATCAACACTGCAGATTGGAGACAGCACACTGGCTTGCTGAGGGTTCAGGGACGGTGAAGGGGAGAAATCAGAGTATGAGGACCACTAGTGTAAGGAAAGACCTGGCATGCAGCAGGAATGGGAGATACAAGCAATCACCACTATCAGGGCCTTGACAGAGGGAGTGTGCATCAGACTGGTGGGCAGCACTGTACCAGGAAGGAGTCTGGGGGGAAGGATGAGAGTTGCCGTTATAACTATGTGTTGGGGAACCAGTTTTGACGGGTTGTCCAGGGATTTTCATCTAGAAATAAATAAGGTCTTTACTCACTGGTTAGGCCACAGATAGGTTAAAAAAGAAGTCTAACTCTGGGCTCTGCATTTTAAGAAGGTTGTTCAAACTTTAGAGAGGATGAATAGGCAATGTGCTTGAATGATCCCAGGGATGAGGGCAGTAAGGGCAGCACAGTGGCTCAGTGGTCAGCACTGCTGCCTCACAGCACTGGGAACCGGGCTCAATTTCAGCTCTGGGCTGTCTGTGTGGTGTTTGCATATTCTCTCCATGAATGCATGGGTTTCCTCCCACAGTCCAAGGATGTGTAGGTTCGGTGGATTAGCCATGGGAAATGCAGGGTTACAGGGATACAGTAGAGGGGTGGGTCTGGGTGGGATGCTGTTTGGAGGGTTGGTATGGACTCAATGAGCCAAATGGCCTGCTTCCACACTGTAGGGATTCTATGATTCTCCTCAAGAGATTGGAAAAGATGTACATGCTGGATTGAAGAACCTCCTGCTGTGTCAAACATTCTGTTATGTTTCTGTGTTGCTCTCCATACAGCAGAGAAGATTATTTGAACGTTTGATAGAGTTGTTCAAAATCATGAAGGGTTTTAAAGTACATAGAAACTGCTTCCAGTGGCAGAAAGATTAGTAAACAGTAGGTGTGGATTAAAGGTATTCAGCAAGAACCAGAGCAGACAAGAGGAAAATTTTCTGTCACATGGGGAATGAGTTATTTTAATCTGGAACATATTGCCTGATTTAGTGTTAACTTTCACAGACATTTTGGTAAATACTTGGAAATGAAAATATTTGCACCTCAAAAGAGAAAGGCCAGGGTAGCGGGCTAAGTGGTAAGTAGGTCTTTCAAAGCACTGAGGCCATTTGAATTCCTAACGATTGGGTACATTGAATGCTCACAACAGTGGCCCTTGCCACATATCATCGTGTCAGCACTGCAGTGCTTCTTCAAACTGCACTCAAATAGAGAGGCTTCTCAGTGGGAGCTTGACACTGCAGGTACCTTCAGATCCCAAAGGCCCCTACTTCTCGAGAAACTAATTGTTATCTTTTGAATCCTCTTAATGCTATTTTCTTTTCGTGATTCTGCATGTCTGCAGTCTGTTTGTATGAAATTGTTCCAGTCATGTACTTCTAATTTTAAATTATTCTGTCTAGAAATTGACCAATTTACCTATATGAGCAATTTTCCTGGGTCAGTTCTACCGTCATCCATCTTTCAGGATGCTTTCTAATTATTTAGCTACAAGGACATTAGGCTCACTAACCTTTTTCCTGGCTTGTCCAGATGGTCCTTCTTTGGGATTGATATTACGTTAATTATTTGTTAATTCTCAGGCACCACTCTTCTATCCTCACTGAATCATTAGAAAGGAGGAAGGATGGGACCAATTTTGGTAGTTATTTTCTCATGCAAATTCCCTGCATTGTAATCCATCTGAGCACCCTGTCTTGCCTTTCTTTCACTTCCTCCCCTACCCATGAACATGTTCTGTTTCTTTCAGTACTTCCTGCCTCTCCTCATTTCTAAACATTTTCTCTTTCTTGCTGGTAATATAGCCCACATTCACCTCTCTGAAACGATGGTGTACTGTAACAGCAAAATACTTTTGATGCTGGAAATCTGAAATAAAACTTGATATTCCACTAAAGAGTTATTGAGTTGAAAGGGTCATCCTATTTCTCTCCTACAGATGTTTCCTGCCTTGGCAGATATTTACAGCTTTTTCTGATTTTAATTCAGTTGCTATACTTGCTACCTTTATACAATCCCCACAGTGTTGAAACAGGCCATTCAGCCCATCGAGTCCACACTAACCCTCTGAATGCATCCTATCCAGACCCGCCCACCTACCCTATCCCTATCTTTTGGTCACTTGATACCTTATCACTTGTGGCATGTTTCAATTGCCCCACTCATTACTTTATCACCTTTTGCTATGAATATGCTTTCAGAAATGCTTGACATTAAGTTCAGTATTGTCTGCTGTCTTAATTCTGCTGTCTCTTTCATGACTATTTTGACTAATTCTCTATCGTGACTCCGGGAGGTGATGGCCTAGTGGTATTATCGGTGGACTGTTAATCCAGAGACCCAGATAAGGTTCTGAGGATCCGGGTTTGAATCTTACCACGGTAGATGGTCGGATTAGAATTCAATAAATATCTGGAATTAAGAATCTAATGATGACCTTGAATCCGTTGTCAATTGTCAGAAAAACCCATCTGGTTCACTAATGTCCTTTAGGGAAGGAAACTGCAATCCTTACCTGGTCTGGGCTACATGTGACTCCAGACCAGCAGCAGTGTGGTTGACTATTAACTGCCCTCTGGGCAATTAGGGATGGGCAATAAATGCTGCCTAGCCAGCAACGCCCTCATCCTGTGAATGAATAAAGGATTTTCTTGATTACCTTTGCCATATTCTCAGTTGATTGTGCCACTGTAATTTTACCTATTATGGAACGTCTTTTTCTGACCCTTATTTTCTTCGTTCTTTACTTTGTTGATTTTTTTTTTGTCCCCCTACCCTCCTTGTTTGTTAAGACAGGTTGACAGACCACTGTATTCTCATTTAAACATCTATTCTCCGTTTCTGAAAGTAGAATGTTCCTCTACACTGTTGTTTGAAAATGTTGGAGAGCATTTGGGAACAACAGCACTGTTGATTTTCCTTTCTATGACCCAGTCACTTACCCATTCCTAGTGTTGATCCCATTGCCCTGGCTGGAATTCAGAGCAGATAAAGGTTTGAACCTAAAACCTTATGATTTGTGTGACTTGGTGTTAAGGTAAATAAAGTTTGTTTACTGTATTTCTGCTGCCAGGAATTTGATTGTATGGGAATGCAAGTTAATCTCAGCATTTCCTGATTGTTTTAACCTGAGTGAATATTATTTAATAGTCACCTGAAAGGATTTGAGAACATTTACTGAAAAATGAGTCACATGCATAACTAACTCAATGTGGGTTGGTATACGGGATATGCAGGGAGTGGAAGAATGAGATGAGTGGGTCTTAAGTCGTGTATTTATCACCTGCCTCGTTGCAAGGAAAGTGTTTGAGAATTTTCCATATTTTTTCCTTCAGGTTGTCAACGGTGATTAATGCAGATCAGATCCTGGTGCTTCAAGACGGACACATAGCGGAAAGAGGAAGGTAGGCACCCTATTTACCGAAGACGCTTGTCTCTATCAAACATCACTATGCCACAGAGGGCAATGGCTTTTAACCATTCTGCTTTTAAACTATTATTCATTACACCTTCCCCTAGCGGTTAAGAAAAAGACCATATGCAAAGGGATCTTTACTTCAGTCCCCAATCTGTGCTATTAGCTGATGTCACTTCAAAAGTTATGGGAGTGCTATAGTTAACCATGTCGTTCAGAAGTTAACTGTGTTCATGCTTCTAAGGCTAGCTAGTGGCTCCCACCATGAGAAACACTTTGGTTTAGTACAGAATTGTGGTTCACTGTGATGCTCTGAAGTAGCAAGTAACATTTGTGCCACACATGTCAGGCAATTCTTCAACAGGAGAGATTCTAACTATCATCCTTTGACGTTCAATGGCATTACCCCTACTATCAACATCCTGGGAGGTAACATTGACCAGAACCTGAACACGACTGCCCATATAAATACAGTGGCTACAAGAGCAGGTCAGAGGCTGGGAATCCTCCATCACCTCCTGACTCTCCAAAGCTTGCTCACCATCTATAAGGCGCAAGTCAGGAGAGTGATGGAATACCTGCCTGGATGGATGCAGCTTAAGAAGCTTGAAATCACACAGAACGATGCACCCTGCATGACTGGCACTCCATCCGTAAACAATCATTCCCTCCATCGCCGACACTCCGTAGCAGCAGTGTGTACCATCTACAAGATACACTGCAGACATTCACCAAGACTCCTTAGACAGCACCTTCCAAACCCACAACCACTTCCATCTAGAAGGACAAAGGCAGCAGATACATGAGAACACCACCACCTGCAAGTTCCCCTCCAAACCACTCACCATCCTGACTTGGAAATATATCACTCTTCCTTCAGTGTCGCTGGGCCAAAATCCTGGAATTCCCTCCCTAATGGCATTGTGAGTCTACCTACAGCATATGGACTGCAGTGGTTCAAGAAGGCAGCTAATCGCCACCTTCTAAAGGGCAACTAAGACTGGCAATAAATGTTGATCCAGCCAGAGGTGTTAACATCCCTTGAATGAATAAAGTTAAAAGGAATTGTGTAATTACTTGAAAAGGAAAAAGAAATCCACGATGACGAAGAAAGATCGGGGGAGTGAAACTCTTTGGATAGCTCCTTCATACAACTAGCACAGACACTTTGGACTTAATGATCTGTATTCTGTGCCATTGCTCTTGTCATACTGCAGATGCTGGCTGAATGCATCCAGCCCACATCGAAATGTGGTTTCAGAACGGAAAGATCTACATTGATATGATCTCTGTAGTCTGGCAGATCTCACCAAGTCATTTGACTATGTGAGCAGACAAATCTTTTGAAGCTGCTGGAGACAATTGGCCTACCAGTGAAGCTGTTTAATGCGATCTCCAATTTCCATGACAAAGTGATGGGTAAGGTCAGCAATGATAGGACAACATCAAAACTGAGATCCACAGTGGGTCCAAATAGGGTTGCGTTCTGATATTGACAGCCTTTGGCATATTCTTCTTTTTACTGAGGTCATATGCCTTGATGTGATTGACAAAAGATGTCCACATACCAGAAAAGCTGATCAGTCTTGTTCACTTGAGATCCAAGATAGGCACCAAGTCCTTGTGGAACTCGACACTCATAGTGCCAAATTGAAATTTCAAGCAGCAAATGGATGGACTCTCACACTTGTAAAGAGTTTGGTTTGACCATCAGCATCAGGAAGATACATGTCACAGTCTTGTTGCCATGTCACTATCTATCAGCATGAATAAATGAGATGGTGGAGGTTATTGATAGCTTTACACATATAAGCTCCATGATCACTAATATTCTGCTAGATCCTGAAAGCAACTCGAGCACTACGAAAGCTGCAGCTGTTAAGTCCAAGCTGAGCAAGAGAGTGTGGGATCACAGCAAACTGACTGAGATCACCAAACTACAAGTTTACCAAACCTGTGTCTTCAGCTCACTCCTCAATGGTGATGAGATCTAGAGAGCAAATTCTAGGCAGGGGTGAAGCTGAAAAGCTTCTATGTTTACTATCTCCGATGTTTCCTCAGCATCACTTGGCAGGACCAGGTCACCAACTCAGAGGTCCTGGATTGTGCTAATTCCTCAGCATACACTCATTGCTCAACCAACAGAGTCTGAGCTGGCTTAGGCATGTTCATTGGATGGATAACCCCCGTAAAGCCAGACACCACCGAGCAGTGAACTGATAACTAGGTCATAAAAGCCAAAAGAACTGCGGATGCTGTAAATCAGGACCAAAAACAAAGTTGCTGGAAAAGCTCAGCTGGTCTGGCAGCATCTGTGAAGGAAAAAACAGAGTTAACGTTTCGGGTCCAGTGACCACTCCTCAGAACTAGGTCATAGCTTTTTGGGGCTTCATACCTCACTATAAGGGCTTCTGCAGGTGAGATAATGTGGATGGCGGACACTGACAACTGGGAGACCATCACTAATGGCTGTAACTTCTAGAGGCTGACTGCTTAGAAGAGGCGAGTAGAAACAAAAAGTTCAGCTGACCAAGAAAAGGGCCCAGAGACAACAGAGGCCAGTAAATTGTGCAACATGTCAGTGCACTGTCATCCTCCATGTCAAATGCAGCAGAAAATACCTTGCCAGAGTGGGGATCCTGAACCATGTCAGGCAGTGGTTAACACAGAGTTGATGAGCCTTACAAGAAGGAAGGCCTGCTGTTGTTCCTCCATTAGCCACTTTGCCTTCAGTGATCTGTGCCAAGGTCAGAAGCTCTAATTACTTTCCTAAACTTATCTGCTTCTTTTTTCACCTCTCCTTTTTTAAGCCACTCCTTAAAACCTGCTCCTTCTTTGGTATTTCTATATGTGGTTCAGTGTAATATTCTGATTGCCAATGCTCTCATGAAGCACCAAACCTCTTTTAAAGATATTACATAAATGCAAAATATTGCTGATGATGATTCTATCCCAGTGGCTTGATTAAGAGTGTTCAAGTCATTAACATTTTGAGACTGTGACTCCTACTGTTAAATTTTAACCATTTACCCAAACAAGGGTCTGTTTGTGTTGTAAACAATGTGGCCGACAGGTCAGCAATGGGGGTTAAGTTTCTTCACGGGATGCTCACACTGGACGGTAAAGTTTAACATTCAGTCTCAGTGTTCTGGGACACAGCTAGTTGCTTGCATCAGCCTGAAACACACTCATGCTTTGTGAGGGATGCAGGAAGAAGAGACCAGGAGTTGAACCCTGATTCATTGTTGCTCATAATTTTGCCTCCTTAGGCAACAAGTCAAAATTGTACCAGTAAGTACGTAACCAAAGTTGCAGGCTTTCTGAGGATACGCAAGGAATACTTGTTAAAGATTCACTTTATCTCCTTGTGCGAAGCTTGCAGCACCTGACAGCCACAAATCTGAAATTCAGTCCTCTCAGTAATGCTGCAAAGCTAAATTTGTCCTTGTCTTGTTCTGTCTTTCTCCCTTCATCAACTCAAATCAAAAATGATTAATCCAGCATTACTATTGTGAATCTATTCCCTCAACCTGAATGTCTTGGAGACAGGCTGTACCCTTAGACACAGCTATGGAATTTTTCAGTCAGTCTGAAATTCTTCAGCTCTTTATCTCTGCTGAGAGGTTTTAATGAGCTTTACATTTCCTGCCTCCTTCAAAGAGCTGCCTGCTCCTGAAATTGAGGATTTAGTTTCTTCCTGTCCCAGGCCATGTTTCATCTGACAGATTGTTAGCCTGGCTCTCGCTACAGTTAATGGGCTCAGTGTTTACTTTAGCACACAGTGCAGAAGGTAAACTTCACACTTGGGTTAGTGCTATTCACAGACTAACTGAAACTTCACAACGCATTTTACTTCCAAACCTCAGAATAAATACCGCTTCAGTCCTCGGCTTCCCCTTTGCGATTCATTCTATATTTTACCATCTCCCTTACTCCTCAGGAACTCAGTCTGATGTATGAGATTTACAGATTAATCTAATTCAGACATCGCTTCTTTCTTTCCCTGATCTTAAAGCCGGTTACACTTTTCAGAAGCTGGGGATTGTATTTCCCCACAGTCTGAAATTTAAAAATGACACAGCAGTTGGAATTCCACCAGTTTCAGTCCAGCCAATTCCAGGTTAAATAACTGTGGACTGTTAAAGGTAAGCTTGGGGTAGCAGGCTGAAAGGCAGGTTGGGGAAGATAATGATTTCCCAACACATTCTTACCATTGGGAAAGTTCTCATATGGTTTCATTGTCAGGGTCAGAAAGCCCAGGGCAAAATACACTTCTGAGGCTATCGCTGACTTTGGACCCGAGTGTTTCCATTAAATCCCCCACTTGTCAGGAGTTTGCAACACACTGGTCAGAGTCCTGATGATAGGTTAATTCTTGCCAAATGCTGCCTGATCTATTGAGTATTTCCAGCATTTTCCGTTTTTATTTTAGATTTCCAGCATCTGCATTTTTCTTTATTTTTGTGTCATGAATTAATAGTTTTTATAGCCCTGCTTTCATGGTAAACCCACAAGAATTGGGCGATCACGGCTGCTCAGTCAGAAGTAGTTCCCTAGATAATAGTTTTCCTCCCCTCCATCCATTGTGGAGGGCCATGAATGAGGACTCTGTCTTAGAGCCATTGAAGTATTTTCCAAAATGTACTCACTGTTGTAATAAAGAGAGTGCAACAGTCAATTAGAGCACAGCTAGCTCTCACAAACAGCAATTGGTAATGACCAAATCAGCTGTATTTCAGAGATATAATATTGGCAGGAGCACTAGAGAGAATTCCTCTGCTGTGTTGGAAATAGTGCTGTAAAGATTTTTATATCACATCTGAGACACCAATGGGGGCTTAAGTTAACTAATACTTTTGCCCTGTCCCCAGAGATGGTGAGGAAGGGAAATAATTTGACAAATTGACCCTAGAGAGATATTCATCTTTTCACACCACTTCACCAATTAAGTGCTGGGCGAGAAAGTCCATCTGGGGAGTTCTTAACTTGTCAGTAATTAAAGCATTTAAGTGTTCAACTAATGACTACTTAAGGGCTACAACTTAGCACCTTCCCAATGACCTGACTTCTCAACAGGCAAAGAAAGTGGCTGATTTTGCAAGTGGGCAAACATAGTATATATCTGCTGAGGCAGGAGTTTCTCCATTTACTGCAATTTGGAGGCAAGGATAGGGAGCAAGGGGATACTGTCTGAAAGCCGCATCTTTGCCCTTATCTCAAACCTCCTGATCCTCCTCTCCCCTCAACCTCCGCCCCATGAGAAGGAATTGGAAAAGTCCTACCTTCTCAGTGTTGGATCTCTTGAAGAGTAGGCCTTCACTAACAGGACCCAGAAACTGCCTACTTGTTGGTTGGCAGCTTCAGGCAAGCTGGGACACCACCATCAAGGCTGGGAAGCTCAAAGTTCAGTTTTTAAGAGGTGGATGAATGCTTGATCTGGCATGCTTTCTCAGCTGTGGGGGAGGAGGGACATGTTATTTGACACCTAATGTGCCTGCCCCCCCACACACAGTCTCAAGAAGGGAAACTCGTGGCCTTTTTCTGACAATATAGCATTCCCTCGGTACTGCACTGAAAACATTTGCTTGGAATTGGTTACTGTCTCTGGAATGGGACTCAAACCCGTGATCTTCTGCTCAGAGGTGAGAGTGCTTCCCAACGAACCATGGCTGACACTTGATTCTATACTATCAATAAGACACACTGCAGCAACTCGCTCACAATCCTTTAACAAAACCTTCCAAACCCATAACTACTACCATCTAGAAAGACAAAAGAGGCAGAAGTATGGGAATGCTATCACTTGCACGTTTCCCTCTAATTCCTCTTGGGAGTGTCTTGGCATTCCTTTACTGTTGCTGAGCATAAATCCTGGAACTCACTCAATGTTGGCACTCTCGGCATATCTACACTACAAGGACAGAAGTAGTTCAAGGAAGCAGGTCACCACCACCTTCTCTAAAGCCGTTAGGGTTGTGTAATAAATCCTGACATAGCCAACAGTACCCACATCCAATATCTTTAAAAACATCCCTGAGTCAATTTTGTGATCATATATTTCTAATTTGTTTCAGGCACGATGTATTGCTTGCTAAAGGCGGCATTTATGCCGGGATGTGGATGGAACAACAGCAAGCCGAGTCGACTGACTCAGCATCTGACACAGAAATCAAAGACAAGAGCACTGAGAAACTGCAGGCGCCCAGCAATAAGGGGAACTGAAGACAAACCTGCATTGGACTAGGACCCCTGACCATTGTTATTCCTCAACATAAGGCCATCAATGTATCGACCATGCTTGGTCAGCACAGTGTGCCGCATTGAAAACATTACATTTGAAACATGGAATCAGTTTCACGTTATTACAGAGTTTCTAAGCATCTTCGAAGGGGAAAAAAGATCCCAGTGATTTCTTTTTAGGGTTTTTCTGAAGGGTGTAAAAGTAAATGATAGCCAAGTTCCTAAACTAACTATTGTGTTGGATTTTGTAGCCGCCAGCTCGAATTTTAATGTGCATTGTGATGAAGTACCTTGGTGAGCTTGTAATTTGGGAAGGAAGCCAAATTTTTGAAGCATTTAGCAAAGCTGATAAATGACAGGTGGAAGAAAAGGATGGGCCATATCCACATAATTGCACTTACAAAGCTTTACCTATGCTCCCTTTTAGTCTCCATTGATTTCTGTCTTCTTAGTGTCTGACTATTATGTTTTAACTAGTCAGACCAAGGAAATCTTTGATCTTTTCCTTGGTACATGCTGATTTAGCTGATCTCACCCAGGGTAGTACACGATGAAAAAGAACCTCATTTCTCCTAAGTTAAGATAAAGGGATCAATATCTGACAGCATTTCCGCCTTTTGATTACCATACTTTAACACTTTACAGAAAGTATATTGATGCAGGTGCTTAGAGGAGGACCAGATGGTGACTGCACTTTAGAACTGATATTAATTGAGTAGAATTCTAGCTGAGGAGTAGCCTGAGTACCAGCAGAGCTTACAGCACAGCAGGAGTCAGAGGAGGAGAGAAAATTTCAGATGTGAAGAACTAACTGTTAGTAACCAAGACAGAATCCATCAGAAATACAGCTGGGCCAATAGCTGTAGTTGAACAGTACCACCTGTTCCACTCCCCACCTGATAGATCCTTCTGTTTGAAGTTAATGGAACTGAATATCAAGCAGGGGGTATATTGAGCAGCAGATAAGACATCACCTGCTTTGTACTATAACTCAAGCCAAATGTCTACAGTGGCCATAACTGTTGTAGCTGGATCATTCAGTTACTGATCCCCTAGCACTAGTGTCTCTCTCATAGGCTTTGTTTTGTAAGCTTAGAGGACAAGACTCCATTTTGTTGGAGGTATTTGCTTATCTCAGTATAAAAATAGTATTATAGTTACCTTTGAGGCTTTCCTGACATTGGACAGAGTGATATGCTTTAGTTCTGACTAAAGCTCTGCCTCTCAACAGAGAAAGATCTGCACTCGGATTGCATCTTTTAAAACAATTTTGCATGTGATTAAAAAATATTCCTCAGTGTTTCACAGGATCTGATCTAATTTAGCACTGAGATGCTCAAAGGGATACTAGAACAGGTGACTAAAAGGTCAGAGGTATATTTTACGGCATGTCTTAATGCGAGGAAGAGAAGATTTAGGCAGAGAATCTAAAACTTTGGGCCCAGTTGAAGACCTGTTAGTTTATGATAGTGTGATTAAAATCATTGAAAGTGCAAAAAGACTGAATTTGGAAAATCCCTGATGTTTGAAGACTTGGGGGAGACTAGTTATATCTCTGAATGCTTCATGTACATTGAATTACTCAAGGTCAGAAATTTATTCTTGACCCAAATCCATCTCATTTAGAAATCGCGCTTGGTCATGGAAGTCTTCAGCACAGAAAAGGCCCTTCAGCCCATTATATCTGCACTAGGCAGCAACAACCGCCTAATTATTCCAATCACATTTTCCAGCATGTGGCCTATAACCTTGTGTGCCTCGGCATCACGAGTGCACATCTAACTACTACTTAAATATTATGAGAGTTTCTGCGTCTACCACCCTTACATGCAGTTAGTTCCAGATTCTCACCATTCTCTGGGTGAAAAAGTTTTTCCTCACATCTCCTCTAAACCTTCAGCCCCTCACCTTAAATATATACTCCCGGTCATTGACACTGTCAACAAGGGGAAAGGTCTCTTCCTGTCTATCCTATCTATACCCCTCATAATTTTATACATCTCAATCATGTCCCCTCTCAACCTCCTCTGCTCTAAGGAAAACAACCATATGAAATCAACCTTCGGATGAAGTCCTGTTGTAATTGTGGTGTTGAATTTAAGCTGAATGAAATAATGGAGGAGAAATTAGGTGTCAGCTGCACAGACAACACAAAGATCAAAATCTGTCAGTTGACCTGTATCAAGTCACAAGCCATATTTTTCAGGAAAATCACTTTCAGGGCTAACTGTTTAGTGTGTCTGGGAATGTTCTGTCTGAGTTATATTTATTTAATTTTTGGCTGAATTGTTTGAAAACATAATGTAATAAACAATTTTACCACTTTATTTCCATCACACTGCATGCCTGTAGTGGCTATTTTCTACATCTGAGCCTCCTTCATGCTTCAAAAATTATTTTGAAGCACGGTGAGTAATGCCTGAAAACCAGCCGCCCTTATATTCTCAATGAAGTTACTAACCAATGCGTCGTAGCGGGAGGCAATGGCCTAGTGGTATTATTGCTGGAGTCCAGATCTTGTTCTGGGCACCTGGGTTTGAATCCTGCCAAGGCAGATGGTGGAATTTAAATTCAGTTTAAAAAAATCTGGTATTAAGTGTCTAATGATGACCATGGATCCATTGTCGATTGTCGGGGAAAAACCCACCTGATTCACTAATGTCCTTTAGGGAAGGAAACTGGTATCCTTACCTGGTCTGGCCTACACGTGACTTCAGGCCCGCAGTAATGTGGTGGAATCTTAAATGCCCTCTGGGCAATAAATGCTGCCTAGCCAGTGACACCCTCATCCTGTGAATGAGTAAAGGAAAACAAAATTGACACCTTCAATCACTGAACCTTTTCTGGTGCTCCTAAATAAATAGTAGAAAAAAAATCTTGTTTTATTTTCTGACCTGGAAGTGCCACTGGGCCATACCAGTCTGCATTTAATGGGTAATATTTTGCCGATACTGTTTTTACTTTAAGGCTTTTATACAAAGCAAAAGCTAAAAAAGAAAACCTTAGCAGCAATGATTAACGACAGAGGCATTGCTGCATTTAGCATTATAGACAGGAAATGTAAGTTTCATTTTTGCAGGGGCATGATGATTTAAGTTTATGATACAAACACACATTAGGAGCAGGAATAAGTCATTCATCCCCTCAAAAACCTGCCCTGCCATTCAATAAGATCATTGCTGATCTATTTGTGTTTCGAATGTACATTTCCATTTACCCCCAATAATCTTAGATTCTTGATTGGCAAAGGTAGCAATCTTCCTCCTCCTTCAAGAGGGAGGTGATGGCTCAGTGATACTTTCGCTGGGCTAGAAATCCAGATACCCAGAAAATGCTCTAGGGACCTGAATGTGGAATTAATATCTAATGATATTGTAAATACCCACCTGGTTCACCACTGCAGTTTAGAGAATGAAGTGCTTTAGGGACAGAAATCCGCCACCCTTACCTGGACTGATCCAGGTATGACTCCAGACCCACAGCAATGTGGTTGACTCTTAAATGCCCACTGAAATAGCCTAACAAGCTATTCAGTTGAACCAAACTGCTAAAACTCAATAAAGGAAGAAACTGGACAGACCACTGGAACCAATCGAAGCACCAGAAATTACTGCGGCACACTCAGCCCTGTCAACTCTGCAAAGTCCTTACTAACATTGGGATTTAGTGCCAAAAATTGGGAAATCCGTCTCTCAGACTAGTCAAGCAACAACCTTGCTTACAGATTATATCTGAGACAACATCATTACCATCTACCACCAGCGGATGTGGTGTACAGTTGGGAGGGAGCTGCCCTGGGAGGACTCAACATTAATTCCAGATACCATGAAGTCTCGTGGCACTATGGCAAACATGGACAAGGAGACCTCCTGTTGACTACCATGCACCATGTCCCTGTCAACTAATGAATTCATTCATCACTCAGAGGAAGCATTGAAAATGACAAAGGCCTCAGACCACACTTTTGCATGGGGGTCTTCAATGTTCATAACCATGAGTGCCTCAGCAGCACTATTACTGACCGAGCTGGTTGGATCTATGGTGGATGAGGTGAAAGTGCCTGCCCTTGATATCGAGGCCAAAAGTGACTGTGTATGGCATTGAGAAGTCCAATTAAAATTGGAGTCAATGGGAATCGGGGGAAAGTCTCCACTTTTTCATGCCTGGCACAAAGGGATATGGTTATGATTTTGGAGGTCAGTCATTTAAGGTCTAAGATATTTCTGCAGAATTCCTCAGGATAAGTATTTTTTAATCAACCTGTTCAAATAAGTTATTACACACCTCTGGAGCAGGTGGAATTCGAACCCAGCCTCCTGGCTCAGAGGTAGGGACACTACTACTGTGCTACAAGCACCCTTAGAGTTTCTCAGGCTAGTGTCCTAGGTCCAGCTGCTTCATCAATGACCTTCCCTCTGTCATAAGGTCAGAAGAGATGTTCGCTAATGATTGCACAATGTTCAGTACCATTCACAACTCCCCAGAAACTGAAGCAGTCCGTGTCCAAATGCAAGATCTGGACAATATCCAGGCTTCTGCTGGCAAGTGTTAGGCAATGACTATCTCTAGCAAGAAAAATGTTGACATTCAATTGCATTGCCATCACTAAATCCCCACTATCAATATCCGGGGAGTTACCATTGACCAGAAAACTGGACTAGCCATGTAAATACCGTGGCTATTACAGTAGGTCAGAGCCTAGAACTCATGCAAAGGCTAATTCACCTCCTGACTCCTCAAAAATCTGTCCTCCATGTATGAAGCACAAGTCAGAATACGATGGAATACTCCCCATTTGTCTGGATGGGTACAGCTCCAACAAGACACAAGAAGCTCAACACCACCCAGGACAAAGCATCCTGCCACACCCACAAACATATGGGAGCACCACCTTCTAAGCTCTTCTCTAAGTCACTCACCATCCTCACTTATAACTATATTGTTATTCCTTCACTATTGCTGTGTCAAAAAACCTGAAACTCCCTCAGTAAAGGCATTTGGGTCTACCTACAGCACATGGAGTGCAGCAGTTCAAGAAAAAGCTCAACACCACCTTTCCAAGACCAGCTGAGAATGGACGATTATAAGGTAGCCAAGCCAGCAATACCCCACATCCTATGAATAAATTAAAGAAGAAATGACCCTGATTTCCAAAACAGAGAGTTCCAAAGTCATGCAACACTCTGAGAGAAAAAAAAATTGTTTCATCTCAGTCCCGACAGGGCAATCTCTTATTATAAACAGTTCCTCCTAGTGCTGGACTGTTCCAGAAGAAGAGGCTTCTTTTCCATGTCCATTTTATCAAGACTGTTTAGGATCTTATATCCTTTAATCAAATCACCCCTCATCTTTCTAAACCCCATAGCAATAAGCTCAGTCTGTCCAATCTATCCTTGTAAGACAACCCACTCATTCCAGGTATCAATCCAGAAAACTTCCTCTGAACCGCATCTAGCACAGTTAGATCCTTAATTAAATATGAGCAAAACTGCACACGGTATTCAAGAAGTGGTCTCACCAATGTCCTGTATAAGATGAAAAGCATCCTTACTGCTGTATTCAATTTCTTTCATAATAATTGATTGTATTTATTAGCCTTGTTAATACTTGCTGTACCTATATACTAACTTATTGTAGCTCATGCACTGGAACACCTTGATCCCTCTGCACCTCGGATTCTGCAGTTGCTCTCCATTTAAGAAATACTCTGTTTTTTAATCTTCCTGCCAAAGTTAACAACTTTGTATTTTCCCACACTATACTCCATCTGCTGGGCTTTTGACCACTCACAACCTATCTATGCATCTGCAACCTCCATACTTCCTATTCACAACATACTTTTCTACCTATCTTTGTGTCATTTACAAACTTAACTGCCATGCCTTCACTCCCCTCACCTAGGTCATTGATATAAATTGTAAAATTATGAGAGCCCAGAACAGATCTCTTCAGTACTGCATTATCACATCCTGCCAATCAGAAAAGATCCATTTATGTATATTCCCTGTTTTTTGCCTGCCAGCCAGCCAACCAATCTTCTATCAAAAGCTAATGTTTCTGAGTACACCATGAGATTTTAATTTGCACAATAGACTTTGATGGCCTGCCTTCTGGAATTCCAGGGACAGTACATTTACAGGCTCCCCTTTATCCACAGCACATCTTACTCCGTTGAACTTCAATATAATGGTTAAACATGATTTCCCTTTAACAAAGCCATGCTGAATCTTATTAATTAGTTTGTGTTTTTCTAAGAGTCTGGTAGAATCTTCTTTCTGATCAATTCTAACACCTACCCTGCAACAGATGTGAAGCTATCTGCCTATAGTTTTCTCTTTCCTGCCTCTCCATCCTTGAATAGAGGTTAGGGTTAGGGTCATGCTTGATCCTTCCCAGAATGATGGAACCTCTCCAGAATCTAGCTCATTTTGGAAAATTCATCACCACTTTAAGATTCTAGGATGATGTCCATCAGGACTCAGGGACTTGTTAGCCTGTAGCTCCATAGATTTGTTCAGTATTACAACCCTCATGAATGTAATTTTACCAGGTCTCTCTCTTTTTTACATCTTAATTTATATTATAACTGGAATGTTATTTTATATTTCTGAAAAAAGTGGAGTCCTACCAAATCATAGCGCTACTCTCTCATTAAAGAGACACCTGGTGGTGGTTTAACCTGACGGTCACCACGCCTCAGGAAGGGGAGAGGTTGAGTGAGACAGTCATTCATGGTAACTGCAGCTGTGCAGGAATATTGCTCAAGCTGTTAGCATCAGACTGCATTGCAAACCAGCTATCCAGGCAACTGAGCTAAGCCACTTCAGCTGAGTGTAGTAAAGGCTGCGTGAGTGAAACTGGAAATTTGATTCAAAGTGGGAATTCAATGCAAAGGGGACAGAGGCGTTTTAACTAAAGTTTACTTCAAGAACTAAAATGTCCAGAGTAAGGAAAGTGGGAGAGGAGAAAAGATGTGGATCAAGAGGCCGAACTGCAGTGAGAACAATGACAGAGGGACATCATGAACCACAGTGTGACCGGAGTGCAGGGAAAGAAACTGGTTGGTGAGTAGGGCTGGTGAATATTTCTAGTCTGTAAAGTAGAAACATCTTCAGTTTGTGTTTCAGCCTCTGTTGCTTTTCTTCTCTTATAAAAACAACCGGTTTTGTATAAGTTTGCTACTGTTAATTTTTTATTAAAATAACACTAAGTTATGTTAATAAAATTGCAAGGAATCTAGAGTAATTCATTCGTAAATTAAATCAAATATGACAGTGATGGGAAGATGGGTGATGTGTTGCTGTTGCAACATGTGGAAGCTGCTGGATACCAAGAT